AATGCTTATCAGACATCTTTCCGAAAGGCAAAAGGCACGCGATCATGGACGACATAAAGCTGTTGATCGGCGGCGTCCCAATTGTTGCCCGTTATTTCGTCACCCACACATCCACCATGTGAACCTCATCAGGTGGAGATAACGAGTTTCGCATCATATAGGGGCGATCTCACGGCTGGAAACACGTGATCCCGAAGTATCTCCAAAGGAATCCGCCTCACCTATCCATCCCTATCCATCCACATTCCTATCCCTGAAGATAGCAAAACTGCGCTGATCGCGACAGTCACGACATGTGAAATCATAGCGCTGTAGGCAGCACAGAGACCGATCAGAAACAAGAACGAAACTTCACTACGTCCATGACCAGCCAGCACAAGGCTAGGATAACAGGGGTAAACCATCCATCGCCGAAGCATGAAAACGATGAACCGATAGCTGTTGACCAATCCTTTTTGGGTTGCGCCACGCATTCCACTTCTGTCCAAGATCGTAATGGTGATCTTATGCAGGATCAGAAGAGCTAGTTGGTGGGCAGATGTTTCACAACCTACGATTAGGATGACCAGGTCTCCAATTTCACAAGGATGGCAGGCTTGACTGATATGGGCCAGTGTCGATGCAGCATTTGATCCCAGCCCTTGCGCGATCCCTTTATTGCTGGGTGCACTCCTAGCGCCAAACCCTACGCTAAACTGTACAGCTCACTGTGGACGTGTTATTTTGCTGAGTTAAGACTTGCTGTTTACTAATACCTTCCATAGTTCAGAATTAGTGTGATGGGTTGTAAAGAAATAACCGAAGTCTCAAAAAAGCTTACCGCAAAAAAAAAACAAAAGGAATTGGGGGAAACCCTGAAAACCATTTTATGAAGAGATCGTATTGATCATTGGTTGAGCGGAAGCGATTACGGTGAAGGAACATTATGAGCGATGAGCGCGGACGCAGGCGTTTCAGAAATAAAGTGCGTAAGGAGCTAGAAGACGCATACCCTATTGGTGCCATAAATTTCACGGCGGAGTCAAGAGGGACAATTTTAGTCATAGGCGTATTATTGAGCTTAGACCCTTGAGTCACATATTCCCGTAAGGATTTTTATAGAACCCCTGACTAGGGAGGAAGTCCGCCATCGTCCGCAAATGTTTCGCTCCTTTACCTTGTTGTAGAATGTGCGAATGCGCTTTCAGGCGCTATCGCAATATGCGGTGGCATGCATTTAGGACTGAGCATAGGAGGGGCAGGAACTCCGAGGCAATTAAAATTGCTCGCGCTCCCTGAAATCTTCCTTTCCCTTAAAGGCCTAGTCCCGTTTTTACACAAAAGATGTTTTACTCGTTTCTCAGTGCATTAGCACCACAATGTCACCGCATCTTGCGTTAGCGCCGGCTTTCATTGAGATATTGGAATTCCGTTCATAGGTAAAAAAAATAATCACTCACCTAACACACGTTCGGTACAACACAGCACTTTTGGGATATCATGGCACTCGGGCAAATTAACGTCGCCACGAACAGAAGATGAAGAAGAAAGAAGAGTAATTACAAGAACGAGCAATGACGGGCGAAGCCTGAAATTAAAAGGTCTTTAACAAGATTGGCTTGAATTTGATGATCAAAAAAAGCCACCGCAAATTTAACCGTTGTGAAAAGATCAACAGCTCATGGACCAAGGGAAGAATCTGAAAGACGTTTCAAACACCATAGCGCTCCTCAACTGCAGTGAAGTGCATGGCGCATCTCAGATCAGGAATTTTGGCCGCAATTGGTTCACATTCAATAGTTCACGCGCGCTAATATTGTTTTGAAGGGTCCATTGTTCCTTCAAACCTCCCGATGCTCATATTTTTCTGAGAAAATCAGTATTTGTGAGTCAATGAGGTGCAGATCTAGTACTTTTCGTAATACCCAGAACTCGGTGTTTCTATGTCGCTATGATTTTGAGGCTTGCATACGAAAATATCGCGGGAATCTAATGAAAAGGAAGCGTAAAAATAGGACAGTTTTTTTTAGATGACCCAGTCTGTTTTTGAACATGTTTCAATACTATTTAGAATGCTCATATCACGCGCGCTTCTGTGCAAGTTATAGAGTCGCAAA